TTTTTTTTTTTTTTAAATATTATTTTAATTGGTTTTTGAATCAATTTTTGAAGTATAAAAAAATGTTACGTAAATACTAAACTAATAGTAGCGATACACTTAATCCTTTAGTTAGTTGTTTGTTTGCAATAAAGTATCTTTAACCTCGCAAATATCTGACTAAAATCGACTCCTGAGCAGTCTCTGATCTTCTATTAGTCAATAAATTTTTTTACAGACAAGAAAAATAATTCTTTAAGAAGTCTTTTTTTTTTGTGGTATAGTCTTATTGATGAAATGTTAGGCTTGTCTCTTAAGCATTTTTCCGAATCCTCTACTTTATCCTCGTAGAATCTACTTACAAAATTGCAGAAATTATGAATAATCCTTCTGGAATAAGCCAAGATTAGTCTTTCTGATATTTCAAATTCTTAGGTATAATGCCGCTTGTATACTAACAAATGTTCACCTTCTTCTTTCTATGATAACCTAATTATGGCGTACCAGTCGTCTTCAGTAAACTTAACAATACCACAAAAGTGCTGCTTGGTTTTTAAAAGTGCCTTTGTGTTTAAGTTACGATAGTCTAGAAGCAAATTTCCATTTCTACTACACATAAGCGTCAGAATACTAAACTTGAAAAGAATAGTACTGTCATCTCTAAATTGTAAAGGGCGAATTATAACTTTTATAAATATAGACTATAAATTTCTTGTTTTTTTTTTTAAGATTTCTAAAAGCGCTAAATTTTTGATAAACAAAGAAAAATTTTAACACATTTTACGATGTAGAGACGATAAAGTGAACAAAACAGTACTATCACTATTTTATCTGTAAAAATTTTGGAATCTCAGAAGTTCTAACCTGACTGTGTACGCATACACTGTCGTGAAACTTCAGAACTGGCTTGAATGGTTCATTCTCATTAATTATACCCATCATACCGAACTCACCGTTATCGTCGACCACAGTGTTTGTAGCCGTAAACAGAGAATTGCCAACTGAAAAACAGTGTAAATAAAATTAGCCAACCAACTTTCTTCTGTTTTTATCGAAGAAAGAAAAATAATTTTACACTTAAAAATGACACAAGATTTTAATTGTTTTTTTTCCTGCTAAATTAATCGAAAAAGAAAGAAATTTACGACCACAATTATTAGAACAATAATTAATAAAAATTTTATAGAAACTTACATGCATCGACAGCAATCAGCTCAATAATACCACTCCTTGGATGACCAAAGCAGGTAATTTTTCCTTTAATTTGAACAAAAAATCTAGAGATTTTCAGGAAGATGAATGCCGTAGATACTGCAAAAAGAAGCAGTAAAATACTAAAATTTAACATTGTTGTGGCTTTTGCAGCAACCAATTTGAACATGATTAATTGCATTTATAAAAATTCTCTAAAAAAAAAGAAAAAAGAAGGAAAGATTCTATAGTGCTTAAAACTATTTAACTGATTTGCTGCTTAATTTATTCTTTATTTCTTCTATCATTTTATTTTCCTATCGTTTGCTCTGAATTTTCCTATTTGCTCTGAATGTTTCTGCTTCCTCTCGCCCCCATTCCCTCCTTGAAAAAAAAAAAGAAACCGGGTAAATGAATTTGAATAAAACGAAGAAAAGATAAAAAAAAAAGTGATAATGTTTGCTTTCTTTTCTTTAAACTAACCGTCATTTTTAAATGCTTTTCTAATCATTTTGTTTTTTTTTTCTTCTATAATCAACTTCAGTTATATTACTATACCAAAACATAGAGAATGACTCTTTGCAAACTGTTGCTTCGGCATCTCTATCAGAAATGGGATATCGTTCAAGAGAAGTAAAGAAAAACTTTGATTATTTTACAGTCTTCTTTTTTAATTTACATATTTTGTTTTTCTAATGATATAATATAACCTTAAATTGTTGATCACTATCAAAAAAAAAAAAATGATTTTTTTGTTAATTATTCTTGTATCTACAAATTCTATCAGGTCAAAATTGAGGTATACTATCATTATTATTAAAAGCAGCAGCAACAACAACAACAGTCTTACTTAGACTATTTATTCTAAAGTTTCCGCCTATCTAATTTCTTATTATCAGGATTTGTTCCTAAATTGTAATACTAAGTTTAAAATGTGACAAAAAAAAACTATTTTTTACACTTCTTAAGCTTTTTTTATGCAGCAATTTAGAGCATAAGCATTAAAATAAAACGTTAAAATGAAGACACTTTGCATGAAAAACCGTAGGCAACTTTACTGACAACAGTCAATACATTGTCTATAGTAAGAATTCTTATTTGTTTTAAAACTGGTATCTCGCTGATTGACAGTACAACTGCTTTAAATGTCTTCAATACCTATCATTTGTTGATCTTTGATACTGCACACAGTGTTTTGTGAAATTTTGTTTTGGTAACGAAATGAAATTTAGCTCTTTTTTTTTTTGAAGAATTTTTGTATTAACTTCAATATTTATTAGTTATTTTACTGTTATTTTTCTTGAATATTTTTCAAATTTATTTTGTCTTTATTTTCTGGCTTAATTTTTGATATAAAAATCAGTTTACTTTTACTGGTTCTGTTTGAAGACTAAGTGATTTTTGATGCTGTCTGGTAAATGTATGTTGCAGTGTATTGGCGACACTTCAAGTATCATCAGCAATGTTCGCCAGAAAAGAGACGTTAGTCTTGTTGCTTTAATTCTTCAGAAATGCACTTGAAAAT